CCTATTTACAAACACTATTACAACAAATCCCTCTATTCATTAAGAGAATATAACTATATATCTAACCATTCTGAATACACAGATACAAAATGAACATTCATTTATATATAACCTTTTTTGTTTAGTTCCATCATTTGAATATTATAGTTGTGTTAACATTTTTGTTCTTATGGTCTCCTTCCAGCAAAACTATATAAAAACATCCCTCATACCAGTTATCAATTTATTGCTTGTCAAGTATAAGTTCATCTTTTGTGTTGTCTGCAAAAATGGATCTGGGCACTTCAGATACTTTCCCTCCACCTGGGGCTCTGAGCTTCGTCAGCAGAGGGTGCTGGGACACAGCACAAGGAGTGTGTGCTTTGCTTCCTGGCCGTCGGCTGCTCGCTGACCCTGCTGCGCCCTCAGCTCTCTAGCTCCAGACCTCCATAGTGTGCATGACTGGTGGGTGCCCCGGTGCTCAGCTCCCTGGAGTGGGAGCCAGCCCAGTTCTGGAAGAGCGCCTCCAGAGCCACTTCCTCCTGCGAGACTGTCCCTGCAGGCTTCCGGCACTTTTCAGGAAGCAGATCTGTAGCACAGTCTATCAGTACAGATCCACAGCAACACTGCATCCAAATAATCACCTACCCCTCATTACTTTCCATCATACCCCCCCTTTTTTTGGTCTAATAGTGGCTTCCTATCTTTCATATCATCTTTTTTGTTTTTTGACACAAGGTCTGGCTATATAGTCCAGGCTAGTCTCAAACTCTTAGGAGTCTTCCTGCCTCAGCTTCCTAAGTATTAGAATTTAGGCATGTACTGCCACACCTATTTTTCTTTTCTTTTCTCTCTTTTTTTAAAGTTCTACATATCTGGAAAAACATGGTATTTGTCCCTTTACGTCTTTCTTATGTTAATATGGTGATCTCCAGTTCCACCCATCTCCCTACATATGACATAGTTTTATCTTTATAACTGGATAATACACCATGTGTATATTCCATGCTTTCTTTATCTGTTCATCAACTGATGGGCATTTAAGCTGTTCCCACTACCTCAAATTTTGTGAACTGTGCCAAAATAAACATCGGTATGCAGACAGATAGACATTAATTCTTTATATTAACTTTCTTTGTACAGGGTGCTTTCTGTTGTGTGATTAGACCTAGACATGCCATAAGCCCTCCTCAGAGAATCTGGAAATGCCCTAAATTACATTACAGGATGGAAATAGCTAAGAGAAGGCCATGCGAACTCACAGATTATGCTAAATCAACAAAGAAAAAAAAAAAAAAACCTGCTGGGCTTTTTGTTGTTTTTGTCTTTTTGAGATAAACTATGTAGTTCAGGCTGGTCTTCAGCTCACTTTGTAGTCCAAGCTGGTCTCAAACTTGCAACAATCCTCCTGCCTCAACCTTCCCAGCCTTCTGAGCATTGGGTCTGAATGCTGGGATTACAGGAGTGCATGACCACACCCGGCTTGTTCCATTCTTTTTCCTGAATGCTGACGCTCGCCCATCAAGGCCAAACTGAACACTGCTTTACAACCAACCAACCAACCAACCAACCAACCAACCAACCCAGAAGTAGCAAAAGCTTCTCTAATCCCAGGATGCTGGCTGCTTTCATTATCCTGCTCTTTTATCTAGAAATTAAACAAAACTGTATTTTTATGGATATCAAACTTACCCAAAAATGTAAAGGATATTAAATAACGTTAAAAGCATTTTTAGGACTGCTTATGTTTTCTTTTTATACACTAAAGGATTATCTTATTCCCTATGCAATGCATGTATAGTTACTATACAGACAAAATCAAACTGTGAACAAACTTGTAACTTAGTCACATTTAAAACAAACATGGTTTTGTACAATGTAAAAATTTACATTAAAATGAGCTGCTAGGGGCCGGGGAGATGGCTCAGCAGAATGAGTGCTTGTCTGGCAAGCGTGAGAATCTGAGTTCAATCCCCAGTTCTGCCAAATAAATAAATAAATAATAAAAATATAATAAAAAAATAAAATAAAATGAGCTGCTAAAGCCAGTGGTGCTGCACATCTGTAATCCTAGGATTTAGGAACCTGAGGCAGGAGGATTGCCCTAAGTTTGAGGCCAGCCAGGTCTACATAGTAAGAACCTGTTTCAAAATACAAAAAAAAAACCCCAAAAGCACCACAAGCTACTAGTGTGTAGATTTTGGATCATACTTTGCATAAACCAACTATAAAAGATATTTATGAGAAGCTGGGCATGATGACGCAAGCCTGTAATCCCAGCACTGGGGAGGCTAGGTGATTACCATGAGCTTAAGAATAGCCTAGGCTAGGGCTGGTGAGATGGCTCAGTGGTCTAAAGCACCTACTTGGGACAAGCTTGGCAAAGCACAGGGACCGCGGTTCAATCCCCCAGCACCACATGCCAGCCAGCCCCGCCCCCTGGTGGGCTGAGCTGGCCACACACACACACACACACACACACACAAATAAATAAATAAAAATTTAAAAAAAAAAAAAAAAGAATAGTCTAGGCTATAGAGTGAGTTCAAGACCAGTCTAAACCTCATAGTGTGACTCTGCCTCAAAAAAAAAAAAAGGCATTCATGAGAAAAACTGGGGCTATCAGAACTACCAGAAGAGGTATTTTATTAAGACACTGTTCAGGAATCACTGATTTCCTGCTTCTCCAGCCTCTCCTGCTCTGGCTTTGGCAACTTTCTGTGTTCTAAAGCTAACATTCCAGTTATGCAATATCATCTTCCACAACCCCAAGCTATCATTACTAGTTCTGTTTCTTAAACTCCCTTCTTTCTGGAGACCATTTGCTGATGCAGCCCTCTTGCTGCTCCAGTCTGACTACCTCTCAGCTGAATCTTGACCTATTTTCTTAGCACTTCGCCCTCCAACCCCTTTTTTAGATAGGATTTCACTATGTAGTTCAAACTGGCCTTGAGCTCACTAGATGCCCAGGCTATCCTCAAACTCACAGCAACCCTGCTTCAGCCCCTCAACCCCACCCCCCGTGTTGGGATTACAGGCGGGCACCACCATGCCAGACTCATGTCTGCACTTTTAAACACAGAATTCAACTTACTTCTTTCCTGTGTTGAATCTCATCTCTTGAATCCCAAGTCTTTCTTGTTGTTCACTGTCATTTATAGCAAAGCACATCTTCTAAGAAAGGAAGCGGATGTAACTGGGGGGCACATCCTACATAAATGGTCTATTAAGCTCCATCTCCAGCTCCTTTCTAAATGCTATTTTAATTTATTCATTTATTTGTGGTACTGAGGATTGAACTCAGGACCTTGTGCTTGCAAATTTTGAGACACGGTCTTATTAAATTGCCCAGACTAACCCTGAAGCTGTGGGTCTCCCACTTCTGTCCCCCAAGTGGGACTGTGATTATATAACTGTCACGTGCCTCCAAGCTCAGCTGCATCAAAGTTTGATTGTTGTTGTTTTGTAGTACCAGAGATTAAACTCAGGACCCTGCGCTTGCCAGGCGGGTGCTTTGCCGCTGAGCTGTATCTCTGGCCCAGCTGCATCAGTTTTAACGGAGGACTCTACTACTCCCTCATTAAGATTTTCCAGCCTCCGAACTGTGAGCTAAATAAAGCTCTATCCTTCAAAAATGAACCAGCCGATGGTATTTTAGTTATATAAAGCTACAGAAAACAGACTCCAGATTAATACCCAGCAGCAGCTCAGTCAGCCACTCAATCGCAAGGGTGACAATGTGATACAGTACTGTTTGCTGCTAAGAAGCTATTGTGTTCAGTAGAGTGGGTGCATTAAATGCTTTTTTTTTTTTTCCCGAGACCAGGTCTCATTATGTAATTCAGACTGTTCTTGAACTCACTAGGCTACCCAAGCTAGCCTCAAATTTGTGGTGCTCCTGCTGCCTCAGCTCCGGTGTGCTGGGATTATAGGCTTGCACCTGGCTGAATGTTTTACTCTTTATATCAATTTAATTATTTGTAAAATGAAGATAATTAACTACACTGAACTCAAAAGACCTTGCAGCAATCCTGTCAGAGCGCTAAACTTTATACCTACAGAAGTTTCCCATGTAGTAACCAGAGTGAAGGTCAGGAAGAGACATTTTGTTGTAGAGAGTATCAGCCAGAGAAAAGGCTACTGTGCCACTGTGTCTGCTTTAACAGAACTAAATGATGATCTCCATGTTTTAAAGAGTTCTGTGAAAGTGACAGGAAGAGTGGTTAGTATTATGTAGCAACCATAGTGGTTAGTATTCCTGAAAGGTACTTTATTTTAAATAGCTCCAAACAAAAATCTCCCAGGAGGATAAAAGTTCATTCTAACATATTTAGTTACTACACACATACTGCCATGTTACACGTTAATTCTGTATTCTGAAGTACACTTATAACAAAACTTTTCTTCTAAGTGGAGCTCTTCTTATCTCATATTAGCATTGAGTAAAAGGTTGTACTTAGGGGAGTCTTTTTTTGGAACCGGGAACTGAACTCAGGACCTCGTGCGTGCCAGGCAGGTGCCATGCCACTGAGCTAGATCTCTGGCCTGGGAGTGGGGATGGGAGGTTATTTTTAAAGATGTGGTCTCACTGTGTTGCCCAGGCTATCCTCAAATTTGCCATTCTCCTGCCTTCAGCTTTCTAAGCAGTTGCTTTATAGGTGCGCACCACTGTGGCTGTCTGAGGCTTAAAAAGAAAACTGTTTAGGGTCTACAAAACAGCTTAGCAGACTAAGCACCTGCTCAGGCAAGCACAGGGACTGGGGCAGATCCCTGGCACCACATGCCACACAGGCCCTGACCCTGGGTGCGCTGAGCCAGCTCAGACTGGGCATGGTGGCGCACGCCTGTAATCCCAGCTCTAGGGAGGCTGTAAACAGGCAGGTCACTGAGTCCAATCTAGTAGGGAGTCCCTGAACACCCTGTAGACCCTTCCCTAAAAACACAAATGGCAAAAACCAAACAAACAAAAACATTCTATAGGACGTGTTACAGGGAGAATAGCTAATTCCTACATGGATTATGAAAGGAAGTAACTGTAACAACTGTACTGAGGTACACACATTATTTTTGGACTTACCCTTAGAAGCAACTCTGCTAATATGCAGCCCACAGCCCACATGTCCACACCCACACCGTACATCCTCGCGCCAAACAGTAACTCTGGGGCCCGATACCATCTGAAAAGTAAAAGTAATTTTTAGGACAGAATTATTAAAGCACCTTTTAGAGATGAACTACCCTTCCTATTTTTAAAGCCACTCTTTTGACATGTGTACAAGATACCATACTCTTGCCACATGAGTATGGCTTTAAAGAACATTACTCTTGGGACTTTTTCATCTTTTTTCTGTCATTAATCTTTTGTTTCCTCTAGTGTTTTCCACCAGTAAGCCAAAATGCCATAAATTCTCCAGCTCTGAATTTCACTAGGCTGCCTATTCATTCTCTGGATAATTCAAAGGATTATTTGTTCTTCCTGTGTCCAATTATCTTCTCATCCTCTCTGAACTTCACTCAGGCTTCATCCGCATCAAAATAGCTTGCCAGTCAGAAATGATGCCCACTCTCTCACAGCCCTTATCTTCTCAACACAAGTAGCATGTAATTTCTGAGAAAATACTAGACTGGCAGACAAGAAAACACTAGTACACAGTACACACATGTATGGGAATCCCTGCTTCTAAGAGGTCCCGAGCAAAGGGCTTAATCTACTCAGCGATCATACTAACTACTCAATGTCTGCTACTTTTTATTTAGGGCTCACACAGCAGCGTCTCAGTAAGATTTACTTTGGCTCTGGTGGTTGCATACCCCTCTAATCCTAGTACCCAGAAAGCCAAGGCAGGAGCATCAGCATTGCTCCAAGTTTGAGATTAGCCTGAGTTCAAGGCCAGTCTGAACAGATAGGGAAACCTTATCCAAAAAAAAATTTATTTCGAAGAAGTGACAAAATATTTTAAAAGAAAATCTTGGGCCGGGAGATAGCTCAGTAGAATAAGGGCTTGCCTAGCAAGTGCAAGGGCCTGGTTCCACAAAAAAAAAAAAAAAAGAAAGAAAACCTGAAATCTTCCCAAACTTTAAGAGTCTCAGAAATTAACAAATGCCATTCTGAGAAGAAATTTTATTTCCCTATCATTTAATGTGATTGTTTTTATACATTGAAATATTAACAAAAATATAATTATTAATAATATAGGGGCTGGGGAGATAGCTTAGTGGTCTAAGTGCCTGCCTCCCAAGCACAAGGTTCTGAGTGATATCTGGCACTGAATGCCATGCAGGCCCCAAAATTCAGCATGGTGGTGCATGTCTGTAATCCCAGTGCTGGAGAGGCTGAGACAGGAGGATCACTATGAGTCTGAACTGTGTAGTAAGAACTTGCACCAAAAGAGTAATAAAAAATTTATAATAATATAACAAATCAAATATCAATTTTTCCCCCATAATTTTACTGAGGAACAAATAGCAATGAGACAGTTTCAAACCAAATTGGTAGGACAGTTTCAATAATTAACACATTACATACATTCTTCCTAGTGGTTAATTGCTGTACAAGATGCGGACATGATATTCTATTTACAAACACCATTAAAACAAATCACTCTATTCATTAAGAGAATGTAACTATATGTCTATCCTAACCACATTGAATACACAGATACAAAATGGACATTCATCTGTATCCCCTTTTTTTGGTTAAGTTCCGTTATTTGAATATTATAGGTGTGTAAACTCAGCAAAATATTCTAAAAGAGTCCAGTAGCCCATAATAGTACTGGGTCTTCTGCTTGACTGGCAATCTCAGAAATTGTTGATCTGAGTCCCCTACAGCTCAACATAACAGCATAGCTTTACTTCTTATATTTCGTTTTTATACTTTTCTGCTGAGTGGTTAAGACCAAGGTAAAGCAGGACCTATGGAACAAGAGTTGTAGCTTTTGAGTCTGAGAAGGTCAGTGAAATCCCCTCAGGATTTTTCCTGAGATCCTGTACCTCAGATTGTAGAATCTTTGTCAGTGTCAGCCATGTGGATGAGTCACGGCCATTGCTTGGCCAATGTGCTCTCTGTGAAAGCCTGAGAGAATGTCTTCTCCCCATGTGACTCTCCTTAGGCACACTCTACGTCATCCATCACTTTCCTCTTTGACCCCATAATCTCCTTGATCAGAAAATTTGGGACACTACCGAGGTACATGACATTACAGTACAAGTTCTCATATGTCCTGAGTCTTAATTGACCTTGGAAGGCTAGGGCCAAAATGTTGGCTTTCCTTGTGGTCCTCCTTTTTCTCTAATTTTGGTCTGCAAACTTAGGTTGTTAACCATCCAGAAGACAAGCTCATTGTTATTACCATACAACTTATGCTGTTAAGCTTAACCTCACTATCTGTCTGAATATCAAACATCTTAGGCATTGCATGGAACAGGTATTTTTCATCAAGTATTGATATGTTGAACTTTTAAGTCCCTACAGAATACGATGAAAAAACATTTAAAAATTAGAATATATTTTTAAAAATAGGCATAAAGAATTATATACTTATGTTTACATATTATAAGTCAAAAAATCTAACCATATACAACCTTGAAGCAGGACAGTCCCACAATATTCCTTTTCCTGTCTCTTGCCTTCACTCACCACCCCCTTCTTTTTGAACAATCATCTTCCCGAGAGACAGCACAGCAGCAACTGGCATGTCATGGCAAGCAGCCTGTATTCAGAAGAGCAGAATGACAGGCACTCCAAGCATGAAACTACTATTACAGATTTTTTTTTTTAATTTTTTTTTTACTATTACAGATTACCATCTGCAGTGCAGTTGCTTATTTCACAGGTATCAGTATATATAGTTAGTTAGGGTGAGAATCTTTCCAATTAACTGCTAGATTCACACATCTTCTGGAGATTCTCAGGATCATTACCTTGCCCATCTTCTACATATAACTGTATGGCTTGACATTGTCATGTTTCCTAGCTCTTCTCCTTTCCTTCTCTTGGTTAGCTAGTCCTTGAGATCCTGCTTTCCTTTTACTTGTATTATACCTTTCTATTTGTATTTCTTCTTTTGAGTTCTTATACTAGGGAAACTATACAATACTTACACATGTACGTTTGGTTTATTTCACTTATGAGTATATCTTCAAGTGGCATCCACTTCAATATAAAGGCTTCGAGTTTATCATTCTTAATAGCTGAATAATATCAAATATCACTTTTTTTTTTTTTTTAACATTTATTTATTTTGTGTGTGTGTGGCCAGCTCAGCCCACCAGGGGGCGGGGCTGGCTGGCATGTGGTGCTGGGGGATTGAACCGCGGTCCCCGTGCTTTGCTTAGCTTAGCTTGTTCTAAGTAGGTGCTTTAGACCACTGAGCCATCTCACCAGCCCCCCAAATATCACTTTTTGATGTAGCAAATTTTCACTTGCATAGAAAGTTACAGAATTGGCCCTTGCTGGGCAAGGTGGTGAATGCCTACAATCCCAGCACCTTGGGAATCTGAGGCAGGAGCTCTTGTGAGTTTTAAGGCCAGCCTGAACTGCATAGTGAGACCCTGTCTCAGAAAGACCAAAACAAAACAGCCCTGACTGATAAAATAAACACATAGCAAATAAATTAGGTAGAAGACCATTGACATGACAGCTCACCTAACTAAAATGCAAAAGTACAAATTATTCTCAAAAGTTACTAAAGGAAGGAGGGAAGACAAAAAAGCTGTATGTTTTTTCCTTGTGATAAAATGCACACAACATAAAAAGGGATATATATCACTTATTTTTATGTTGTTTTTTTGTGGAATAGGAGATTGAACTCAGGCTCTTGCACTTGACAGGTAAGTGCTTATTCTACTGAGTCATCTCCCCGGCCCCTAGATCACTTATTTTTAAGAGCATGGCTACAAATGTATGATTCCTAAACACTGCCAAGGTATTTCAGAGAAATCAGCCTATCCTCAATTTGTGAGAAATAACATCAGCTTTCAGGCATTTAGGAGACTTACCTGGTTACAACCTGATGTGTATAAGCTCTATTGGGGCTCCCAAATGATTTGGCCAGGCCAAAATCTGCCAATTTTAGAACTCCATTTTCATCCAACAACAAATTGTTTGGTTTCAGATCCTAGATCATGGAGGAGGTGTCAGACAAACAAATAAGCAGGCTTGGAAAGTGAAACATTTAACTGGCTTAACCTTAAACTTAGAAAACTGGTAATGCTGCTTTTTTTTTTTTTTTTTTTTAATGTATTTAGTACAGGATTTACAGGGCTTCACTACACAGATCAGACTCGTAATAATCCTCCTGTTTTCAGCCTCCCAAGCACTGGGATTATAGGAACGCACCATCACTCCCAGTCTCAAGTGTCCACTCAGCTCGCCCCGGGGGCAGGGCCAGCACAGCCTGTGGGGCCAGGGATGGACCTCCCGTCCCTGAGCTCCGCCTAAGCACATGGTTTAGTCTGCTGAGCTGTTTGGCCAGCCCAACACTGAAAATTTAAACAACAGTCACTGCTTTTTTCATAGAAGCAAAGTAAGACTACTTATATAGTGGGCCCTCAGGCAAGGCACTTAATTTTACTGAGCTCCAATTTACTTACTGCAGAGTTGCTGTGAAGATTAAATTTATTATCTTCTGTAAAGAACCCAGTACAATGACTGGCTCATTACGAACACTCAATAAATCATCACTGCTATTAATTTAATAAATGTGAGCTTCAGAAAATGAAAGCACTGTGAACTGAGAAATGATGAAAATCATATTCTTCAAAATCTATGTTAGAGGGCTGGTGAGATAGCTCAGTGGTCTAAAGCACCTACTTAGAACAAGCTAAGCTAAGCAAAGCACAGGGACCGCAGTTCAATCCCCCAGCACCACATGCCAGCCAGCCCT